ATAAGGAAGACTCCTTACCAAAAAAAATAAAATAAGGAAGACCCTCTTTCTGCCCTGCTTATTAAAAAAAGAGGAGAACCTACCTAGATATGGAATACTTGCCATTGCGGTCATATGCTTCTCTTTGCATAGGATCACTGAGAACCTGATAAGCTTCCCCTAGTACCTGCAGCATAGTCAGATAAAGGTCCAGCCAAATTCTGATAACTTTGCATTATAAAAAGTGTTCCAATAGCCTCACGTGAAGGCCATCCTGCTCTGAAATTATACTTTACACCAAAATAGTATCACATCAAACTCTGTTTCTATCATGATTCAATACACTAAAAGATAGCTGTGGTCAACTTGGCTCCCAAAGATGGATCGTCAAGCTACTTTAGAGGACTTCCTAGAGATGTTCTGTTGAATTCTCTTTCAGCTTAACGGAATCACCTTCCTCGGAACAAAAATAAGGGGGAGATTGAGAAAAGCCCATTTGACTACTAACCTGAAAACGCTCAGCAGCGTGAGGATCATCTGGATTCTTATCTGGGTGAACTTGCCTTGCCTGAACCCACATGAGCAAAGCATCATAACCATTCTATCGATATCAGGTTGTGGCACAATGAGCAATCAGCTCAAGAAACAACTGATAAAGGTAAGCTGGATAGAGGACATAAATATAGAAGTGAAGCTAAACTTGCAGCCTTTTGTATTCCAACTATCCTAATTCAAGCACCTAACATGTAACAAGCGATCCACCTACCACAAATTCTTCCAGTGCACTTAACTCAAACTGTTATATAAATTATCATAGTTAGGAAGAAATCACAGAAAAAATAAAGGGACCAACTCAACAATGACTTCTTCATTTCACGAACACGAACAGCTGAATCAATTGATCAGGCGATCAATCCCAATTGGAACTAATCCCAGAAGCCTCAGTTTGCTAAAACATCATCGTGACAACAAATTCGAATCAACCGATCACAATTCAGTCATTAATGTAACTGATCCAACAACCACAAAAGGAAAAAAGAACTGCCCTCTTTACCTTGAGATAGTAGGCCTTGCGAATCTCGTCGTCGGAGGCAGAAGGGCCGACGCCGAGAACGTCGTAGTACTCGGTCTCCTTCACCATGATTGGACTTGCTGGAGGAACTCCTTGTTCAGAGCTTGGAATGAACAGAGAGATCGATGAAAGAGATGTGAACAAAAAAGTGGGGAGGGGAGAGAGAGAGAGATGATGATGGGGTCACTAGGGAGGAGAACCCCACGAGCACGAGCTTCACTTGCCTTTCCAGTTCTTCCTCTGCAATAAACAAGTCCCAAAGAACCGCTTTTCCGCGGGAGCAGAACAGTTTATTTTGTATTAACTGTCACTTTTGAGTGGCGCTTATCATATGGCAACTGCTTTTCTGAACGGCTTTTCGGCTCCAAAAGAGCTGTCGACGAACTGGGTCTTAGGACCAACTATGGGCCTTCAAAGATGGCAGGCCATCATGCAAAGAGGATAATGATTGGGGCGACCCAGATGAAAAACAGAGGGCCGTCGGCACGGCGGTCCTTGGCGGCACCGGGTTGGAGACGAAGGGACAAGACCTGGGATCAAACCTCGGAGTAGCCAAGAAGGAGGAAGATGGGTGGGTTTGCAACTCTCGAGGGCTTGAATCGGATCGTGTCGGTTATGAATGGATATTGCAAGATCCGACCCGACAACATGGCGGATTGCGAGAAAAACTCGCTGAGGGACAAATGAATGAATCCTCAACAACATTAATTAATAATGGACAATCAATGTCAATGCGAAAATATGACACGAACATCTCTAGCTTCTCATTGGTCCCTTCAATATAAGGATTTGCTGTTACCGACTGTTTAGATACTGGATTTGATATTTAGCACTTAGATAAAATTTGGGAAGTACATAGTATAATGTGTGATCGTGTGATTGTAAGTTGTCCCCTATCACCTCAAGATCACAATACTTTGGCACACCAATAAAAGAGCATATCCGTGCTGATGAGACTAAAAAGTTTCGAAAATCGGCCACAAATCATCCGTTCGATGAGTACGAATCCATTTAAACATCAGCGTAAGCGAAAGGATTTATCATATACCTAAAATTCATACATTTGATGATTCAACCTATAAGTCAAAGAAGGTTACGACATCATACGATTCGGACGATGCACACTCAATGTAATCAATAAAACATGGGCAAAACTGTCGGCGATTAGGCAAAGATTGAGGGCTTCTAGAGTATATGTACGTACAAGTCACAGAGCCACATTTGGATGATGACGATCCTCTGGCCCCACTGCGGTTTTATATCGTGGAAAAGATGTGCCGAATGAGAAAGCAACTGAATCAATTACCTGAGAAACTCATCTTTCAAAAGGCAAATTATCATAGGAATTCATGCAAATAATGGTACGTTCCATTTGGCAACTATTCCGACCATATACATTTCAAATTGAGAAAAAAAACATTCCTTACATCATTGCAGGCAGAACATAAATTTGTTGTGAAATAACATGGAAAATAGTGGTGAGCGAAATTATAGAAAAAAAAAAGACCCAACGGGAAACTATAAAGAAGGCGAAAGGTTTATGTGATATGATCCGAGTATTGGATCTACTCCATGTGGAGAGCTTGCCGCAGAGAAACTACTAATCAATCGAAGAACTACAAAAAAGCTACAATCACACAGTTAAGTGTTTCCCAATCCTAAATTACACCCAAATTCACAATGTTCAGTCTCACGTAATTGTTCGATAAAAGAAATCACGGAGAATTACTTCGCGACTTCCAAATACTTGCGCCTTCAATAAGACAAGTGATCTCAATCGGATGTAATGCATAAATTACCAAGTGAAATTCACGAAGGAGAAGCTCCGAATATTAAATGGTCATTGCCAAGGGGTATTCCTTTCAGAACAAGGGAAGTAGCGAAAACTGCTATTTCAATCTTCGATCTATCGCATAGATTCTAATTCAGTTCTAAACATTTCAATTGATTTAATATAATCATAAACCTTTGAGTAAAAATGCAATTAAGTCCTCCCCTCCAAGTTTTGACTAAAATTGATGATGTGACAGTCTGGTCATCGCCGGCAATCCTACGTGACACAACAAGATGGTGAAATTTTTAGCTTCCCCTTCATTAGTTGATTAAGGATTTTACCGCAAACGTGTATCTTTGAGACCGGTGGAGGCCGATGAGGGAGGCAACAAAGCCATCAAAGAGGTCGCCGTGGAACGGAGGTTGATTTGAAGGTTGAGGACGATCAGCGGAAAAGAAGAAGATGGATAATAACCAAAAAGAAAAGAAAAGAAAAAATAAAAACAATAGTAGACTTAGAAATATTAAGCAAAACGGTGTCGTTTGGAGTATATTTGTCCATGTCAAATCATCGTGCCACGTAAGATGGTTAATAATGACTGGACCGCCAAGTTAATCGGAAAATTACCAAAAAAAGTCCTAAACATATTGTACTTGTGCCGATTCAGTCCTTAACTTTTTAATTGTGTCAATTTAGTCCTAAATATTTTCACATTTTGTTAATTGAGTCAATTCGGCCAATTTTGGCTGAAAATTGATGACTTGGTCACTAGCGGTCCTACGTGGTATGGTCGGCGCTAACGTGGACATTTTTAATAGTTTTTTAAAATAATTTTTGAATTTTTTAATAATTTTTTTGGTATCTTCTTTTCTTTTTGGCATGAGGTCCGGCAAGGATCATCGGCTAACCCTCCCTGCATTGGTTGAGGGCGTTACAACCCTTGCCTAGGCCAAAACAAGGGCGCATGGCCTCGCCTAGATCTGGCAAGGGTTGAGACACCCTCGCTGGCCCTAGGCGAAGGTGAGGCCGCAATGCCCAAATTCAGCAAGGGCATCCCGGCCCTTGCTTGTGGATGACGAACCTTGCATGCCCTTAGGCCAAATTGAAAAGAAAAGAAAAGAAAAAACCAAAAAATTATTAAAAAATTTATTAAAAATGTCTACGCTACCGTCGGCTATGTCAAGTAAGATCGCCGACAATCACATCATCCGTTTCCTGTCAAAATTGGCTGCATGGACTCAATTGGCAAAACATGAAAATGTTTAAGACTAAATTAGCACAATTGAAAGGTTGAGAACTGAATCAATACAAGTGCAATAGGTTTATGACTTTTTTGGTAATTTTCCCCCACATTAGCAATTTCAAGCGAGATTGACTAAGAAAACTTGATTACTTTTTTACTAAAAGGTCTATCATATTTGATTAATTGAAAGGTTCAAAATTGAACTGAAATTCGAACAACGGGTCTAAAACTGAAATAACAATTTCCCCAAAACCTTCTATACCCCACATTGGATCTATGGGTTGGTGTCATCTTTGCTCCATGACTTGCCTCGACTCTCATTTTCTTCATAAGTCGATGCGGAAGCTTGTAGTCGCTACGCTAGCAACCGTTTCATATCTATCTACAGAGCACAAGGGACACAAAGAAGACAAATATAGTACTTCTAAAGTGGCCAAAGAGAAACCTACCAAGTTAAGTAGTTACATGGGTTAGGTTGCTCTTCGTAATTATTAATGTGGTAGGTCGCCGAATCAAGGTGCTTGAGATTTAGGTTGCTCCTCGTAATTAATGCACGTCAATTAAAAATAAAAAATCATGTCGAAGCTATTATTTAGGAGTGCTCAACTCTGTAATATACCCCGTTTGTCAAACGACGATGAAATTAGTTGGATAGAGAAATTTAAATTGACCAACGCTAATTTGCAAAATTTAATCGTAGAACGGATAAAATATTTAAGAGTTTAGTTTCTTTTTCAATGCAAGATAATAATAATTAATACGAAGAATTCATCCCCTTTATGTCTCTCACATGCGTGGCCCCATCCACCACCTAATATTTTTCAAAGTCAACGTAAGCACGCACCACGCAATTACTTGGAAAACTCTTTTGTTCCAAGTCAACACGCCTTGGGGAAAAACATATTGGCTCAAATCCGCCACACGTTAAGCACTAGGAACAAAAAATCAATCGACGACCGGCTTAATTATCGCATATTTATACAAGAAATTAAGAACATATATCTAACTTAGCCATTTGCCAATGGATAAAAAAAGTTACAGAATTTTATTTTCACTTTGAAATTTTTATAGTGCATAAGATATCAAGTATCTAAATGTCTCCTCCCACGAAAAAAAAAAAAAAGGGAAAAAAGATATAGAAACACAACTATGAATCAAACGTTGTATTGCTCAAGCTGAACATCCTTGGATTTGAGAGGAACATACTCTCCGAGATAGACTTCGAGATGATCCGACAGCGCCGACTTGTCGATGTTCTCATGGTGGTACGACTTGCAGACGAAGTAGATCACCGTTTGGACGACAAGCCCGAATAGCATCAGCATCGAGAGTAGCAAGAAACACAGAGCTCCATAGCCAAACCTACCTAACGTCCCTGTCGAGGGCCCATGAACGACCAACCTCTCGAACGCGAATTGAATCAGATGAAGATATATGTTGAGCTTCAAGAATATGATTATGGACACACCCATCTTGCCCTTTATCAGGCCCTTGCTCTTGATCATGGCCTTGACCCCGTAATCTTCCTCCAGAACGGAGACCACGCTCGCCAATTGCCACACTATGGTCATGTACACGAACCCGACCAAGTAAGCGATCCCTAGGAGGGCAAAGATCACGATGCCGAAGTTCGTGTTGCCGATGGAGATTGCACAGGTGACCAGGACCAGCACGGCGACCACGTTGTACCCGAACATGGCCACGAAGATGCACAAGAAGGTGACCATCAGCCGCCTCCAGACCTTGGGGACCACGCTCATGACCTTCCTGAACGCGACCTCGCGGCCGGTGTAGATGCACGCGATGGTGTAGACAACGGCCGAGGTCGAGAGGAGGGAGAACACGAGCAGGACGGTGAAGTAGAGGGCCTTGAAGAGCAGGAAGACGGCCCACTCCTTGGAGAGGATGCCGGAGATCTTGTCGTAGCGGGCGGTCTCGGGGCGGGTCTCGTCGAGCTCGATCTCGTTGTAGATAATCTTCGAGAAGAGGACATCGGAGACTTGGATGTGGAGGAGGAAGACGAAGGCGAGGGGGAGGACCAAGGCCAAGGTGATTTGGCTGAAGATCTTCCTCCATGAGAAGATGACCTTGTAGGACTCTTTGTAGATGCCGAAGAGGCCGAGGAACTGCATCTCTTCTTGCTCTCGATCCATACTTCTGTCGATCCCTTACGTTCAGTGAAGATTTTCTTGAGGAACAGAAGATGAAGAAGGAATAAAGGGATTGGGAAGGAAGCGAGAGTAGTTGAAGAGGTTCGGTTGGACTTTTCAATCTAGTACTGCCTCTAGACATTTAAAAACTAACCCCGAAGTCAATGTCGTCGTCCGATGGATCGACAAGGAAGATGGAAAAAAAAATCAAATTAATAACGGCAAGAGATCCGGTCAATATGCTTAATTTCAATCCTAATTTTATTTTAATACTGGTGACACTATGATGTGAATTGGAGTTTGATTCGCAGCTTTTTCATGCATGCCCAAAGATTTGCATATATGTTGTCTATGCTATAGGCTGGTGACCAATGCTAGGGTACTAAATTTCTGCTAAAGATTAATAGGCGGTGCGTCGGATGTGGCACGTTTCGATCGGTTACTTAAAAAAGCATTAGATCTCTTGTGCTCACCAATATCAGTCGACTGAGATGGGTAAAATTCAGTTAACATACTAAATGAAGTGACAGACTTCATATGAGCCTCTTAAACAAGTGGGCCGTAATATTTTAACCTTCAAAAAAAGTTTATTGCATCAGTTAACAGACCGGCCTTAATATAATTTGAGTTATTTCATATCGAATATGAAATTTTCTAAATAGGCACCCGATGACGCAGTATTATATATCATATATTAAATCGCATTATAACCATCTAACTTGAAAATTGGTGACAACGAGACGAGTAGACTTTATTATTTATTACTCGACTACGATTGACAACATGGTACTTAACCCTTCAAAGACGGCAATGACCAATTTTTTGGCTCGTCAACCACGTTGGCCTATTTTTTTTTCCTCGTCCTTTCCTTGTGGTCCTTTTGCTTTGTCTGAACTCATCATGCTCTATCAACTTGCAATTGGAGGTATTCCCAATCACCAAACCAACCATCATTGGGAACGAGTCAATCAGAAGTACCCCATCGGTTTGGAATATCGAAATCAAGAGAAACTATATGATTTTTCTTAACATGAATGTTTCGTGAAAATATCAGTTTAATAGATAAGCTAATTTCTTTGAATGTGAGAGTTAGTAGGACGCAATTCGTTTTGTTCATAATAATTCAGAGATGGGGTCATGGGGTCTGTCCAATTAGATGTACATATTAGCTTAAGCTACTAAAGAACGATGCATATTATGCTTTAGATTGTGACAATCCTGCTCATTTGAAGATTGATTAGCATGTAAAGCCAGAAGATGAAAACCCAGTAAGAGAAGGTGAAAGACTTCTTGATTTAGGACATAATAAAGATGGAAAATTAATGAATATATAGAAGCAAGCATGAACATTTGACCTTGGAGACTGTTAGGAGCACGCACTAGAAGTCTGATACCTATATCGGGGAGATATCCAAGAAGGAGCCAAAGTTTAAGCCTGTCAATATATTCAATTGGACTCACTTTCACTCAAAAACTTAAGCCGATGTATTATGAGCTAATTCGGATATATTAACTGCTCAACACCACAATAATTATATGACATTGTACTTTTCTCACACAACTCACATGTGTAACTTGGGTGCGTTTGGTTTAGCTTTGAGAAGAGGCTTTCGGCCTCGAAAGCTCTTTCCCAAAATTCTCAACCGTTTGGTTCAACTTTCGACCTAGCATTAGCCAAATGCTAGCATTTGGAATGCCGAATGCCCAAAGCTGATCCGGACCAACTTTGGGCTTTCGACATTCCACAAATGCTAAACCCAAATTTTTTGTCCCCAAACTACCCTCACTTATTTTGGCTTATTCTGGTTTTGCTCCTCTTGTTACTGTTCATCTTCTTCGTGAGGCGGTCGATGAGGGAGGCCGGTGAGGGCGGACGACGCCGAATCGAGCTGGCGAGAGGCCGGCGAGGTCGCACGACCGAGGCGACGACCGCTTGAGGGCGCGCGATCGCCCGGCGCCGCCTTTGCTGGGTCGCTTGACCTCGGGCGGCGGCCGCCTGGGTCGCCGCCCGCGGCGGCCGCCTGGGTCGCTGCGCGCCGGTCGGCGATCGCACAGGTCACCTGGCCTCGGACGACGGCCGGCGGCGGCAGATCTGGCTTGTCGGGGGTTGCCCGACCTCGGGCGATGGCCACCAGCGCTAGATCTAGCTCGCCGGCGGCCGTAGGCCTTCGCCGGTCGCCGACTCCGACGAAGGGTAGGGTAGGGTATTTTGTTTTTTAATTAAGAAGATCGAAGAAATGTTTGAGATCTATCATGTTAAATGCTCCGACCAAGCAATACTTATCTGTCCAAAAAATTGATCTTGTCCATGCCCTGGTTGATCCATTTGTTCTCACATATTGCGAACAACTCCATGATTTTCAAGACTTGTATTGGGTCAGTCTTCGTTTGCGATGTTCAATCCTAGCCTGCAGGTTCCATGGCCTTTGATCATCGCCCGTAACATAGCTGAGCAATGATAAGCTATCAGTCTCAATTTCAAATTAGTTTATGGGTTCCATCTTAGAAATCTATGTTGCAAGGGCGGCACCAACAACTAAGCTCAAATCTACATGCTGTGCTTGAAAAATGGATGCATTTCGTGATTTCCGATTGAGTCCTACGTGGTATAACCGGCGTTTAAATTGATTCAGGCTCTCGAGTTTGGGGACTTTAGGACTAAGTGAGATATGGGTCATATTTAAATTGGGATCAAATGTACCTGAGTCAAAGAAGCTTTTCATTATTTGAAGCATATCATGCTGGATTATTTCCCAATGATTTTGATAAAATTGGCCATTCAATTCATCATAGCCCGAAGCTTTTTTAGCACCCAACTGAAAAACAACAAATTTCCCTTCCTCCATAGTTACATTTGCCATCAATGCTTCATTCATGCCTTCCTGAGCTAGACAAGGGGATTGGTCTAGCATTGGTTGGTTGGAAGTCTTTTATCCCCACCAAACTGTATAGCGATTGAAAGAATTTAAAGTGTGCTGTTGTAACAAATTGGGCTCCCGACACTTATTCTTGTCATCAATTTTCAGAATGGAAATTTTGTTCCTTTGTCTTCTTTGCACAGTGGTAACATGAAAATACTTTATATTTCTATCTCCCCATTTCATCTGGTTGATTCGTGATCTTATTTCCCAATACATCTCCTCCTGTCCCATAGTCTTTCTATTTGCCCAGAGATCATTTGGATTGCCTCTTTATTATAATCCCCAATTCTGTAGTTTGTCAGACTGTAAGTTGTTTCTTTAAAGCATCAATTTGACGATAGGTGACGCAGCGTTCAGTGAATAATTCAAGCAAAACCTTGCTTAGGATAAGAAATCCCGAAATTCAATATTGATGATAGTATTATGTCCTTCAAAAAGAACTCTAAAACAAACTTATATATCCCTAAACCAAACACTACTAGGACTATAAAGCATAAAATATCAAAATTACAAAACTGCCCTTAAAATTAAAACCCATAAAAAATATTAAAATAATAGAAAAATCCATGTAAACGATCCCGAATCGCTAAAATCCATCGTTAGTCACAGCCAAAGGCAGTGAGTTTTGTTAAGACCGCCGTTTCGCTTCAAACGACTGAATTTGAGCCTGATCCGATGTCGTCAATCGGGTCCGCCGGTTCTAGTCGCATCACCATTTCGCCTTCCATTTGGACTTCTGCCTGTCTAATCGGTCCAGAAACACACCACTAATAAATTCTGCATCATTCTCCTCCACTTGAAAAGAACTCGTCCTCGAGTTAAAATCATGATCTGGATATAACGGTTCTGTGGACTCATGAAACGGCGATAAATCAGCAACATTGAAAGTGTTAGATATGCCTATACTATGTGGAAGGTCTATAACATAAACATTATCGTTGATCTTCTTGCTGACAGTGTAAGGCCCATACTTTTTTTGCTGCAATTTGCTATAAAATCCAACTGGTAATCGCTCTTTACGAAAAAAAAAACCATGACCTGATCACCTACAACAAATACCTGCTTCCGCTTGTGCTTATCTGCTGCAACTTTATACTTCTTATTAGCTTCCTCTAACTTCTGTTGGACTTCATGATGCACTTCCACAATCTGTTTAGCCATATGATCCGCTGCTACACTCTTATCCGCTTGCTTAGGCAACTGTACTAAATCCAGAGTATGCTGAGGCGCCTTTGTATAAACAACAGAAAAATGCGACCTGCCAATAGAACTATGAACTGCATTATTATAAGCAAACTCTGCCTGTGATAAAGCAACATCCCACTACTTCAGCTTATCTCCACAAATGCTTCGAATCAAGTTTCCCAGAGTTCCATTAACCACCTCTGTTTGCCCATCAGTATGCGGGTGAGCTGTACTACTGAAATTCAAAGATGAATCAAACAGTTTCCACAAAGTCCGCCAAAAATGCCCCAGAAATTTGTTGTCCCTATCATAGGTAATAGACTTAGGGACACCATGCAAACGAACCACCTCCTTAAAGAATAACCTGGCCACACTTACTGCATCAGAAGTCTTTCTACAAGGAATGAAGTGTGCCATCTTGGAAAATCTGTCAACTACAACAAAAACAGAATCCACACGTCTTTGTGTTCATGGCAAACCAAGCACAAAATCCATGGACAGATCTTCCCATATATTGTCAGGAATAGGTAATGGCATATACAGACCTGTATTCGTAGATTTCCCCTTAGCAGTCTGGCAAATATAACACATTTGTACGTACCTGTTAACATCTCTACGCAATTGAGGCCAGTAAAATCGCTCCCGGACTGCAGCAATAATTTTATCACGACCCAGGTGTGCAGCTAATCCACAATCATGTAAATCACGAATTACCTTCTCTCGTAATGATGTTCGAGGAAGGAAAAGCTAGTTGCTACGCATCAAATAGCCATCCTGCACATAAAATTCATGCACATGTTGACCAGCAGCACATAACTTCCAAATTTGCCCAAAGTCATCATCATATACATAATAATCTTTCAGCTGCTCGAACCCCAAGATGTCTTGGCTTAATGTAATCAACAAGCCAGCTCTCCTATTCAATGCATCTGCTACGACATTATGCACACTTGACTTATGCTGTAATCTGAAAGGAAATTTTTTGCAAAAATTGACACCATCGTGCATGAATATCTTTGTTAATCC